CTGTCATTGATGCCATGGGGGGGCGTGTACCCCACTGCTTTATAAGTGTCCACAACATGTATTTTGGTCAGAAGACATAGGCTGATGTTTTCTCCGGGCTGTTAATAAACTCATGGTTTGATTGCACTTCTCTGGGGCTTCCGTGGTTTGTCTCACTGCTCTACATTGATTGATTTCGCGACAAGCTCCATATGTGGTTACCATTCGAGTCTCATAACCAATAATAATTCTCATTACTGATGAGCGTAATTATTGGTTATCAGTAACGAGCCCTTTCAGCAGATTAGATGACCACGGTGATCGTGTATACGGCTGTGAGAAAGTCTCTCCTGAGAGACCTGCTGCACTGATTAGTTTGTCTGCGTGTGCGTGTGTGTTTTATCTGCTGGATAACAGCCTGGTACTGAAACCAGAGTGAGGAAACTTGATAGGAAAAGTTAATTAATGATGGAAGAAGTCTAATTAGAGGGCAGGTCAGGTCCCGGGCAGGTGCTCCACGTGTCGGGGGTTTGAGTTTCAGCCGTCACATGTCGTTTCCTGTCTTCGTTCCTGAACATCAATGCTAAGGTTTGTTAAACCGAACGTTAAATGGCAAATTAAAAATAATCAGTTCACCCTGTTCTCTCCAGTTACATCAGAACATGCTGAAAAAAATAGCTGATTGTTCATAAACCTTAAAGCACACGAGTCCTGCAGCCTGATTTTACAAATTTAAATCACTCAAACTGCTCGAAGCATTCTGTTTGTAAACGCTGTTCACCATATCTAATCATCTGCATGAAAATACATTTTTTCCGATGTTATAAATTATATCTTGTAATATGTTCACCTGATGCACACAGTTATAATAAAAAAAATGATAGTTTGGAAGAAATTAAGTCAAAATTATAGAGGCTGGAGAAGCAGGTGTTTAAATGCAAGTCTTATCTCTTATTCCACAAGGCTTAATCCTGGAATTCAGGTGTTTTAATTCCCATTGCTACAGATGTGTAAAATCAAACACTTAGCCATGAAGTCTGCTTTCTTTTGTCAAAGAATGGGTCACTCTTAAGATCCTGCTGAAGTTAGGAGTGGTACCGTAACAGGATGCCACTGTTGCAAAACAGTTTGTGAAGTTTCTTCAGTCCCAGATGTTCCACGATCAGCTGTCAGTGGTGTTATTTCAAAAGTGGCCGACCACAGAAAGCTACCAAGGGGAGCCATCAACCAAAATGATGAAGAGTCTCCAGCGCTCTGCTGACTCAGTAGCTGCAGAGCTCCAAGCCTCCTCTGGCTTTAACATCAGCACAAAAGCTTTGCACCGGGAGCTTCATGCCAAGGGTCTCTGTGGTCGAGCAGCTCCTGCAGGTGTAATGTGTAGGTGGCTCAGGGTTTTTGTCCACATGCTGTACTTCTTGTAAATTTCTGTATTTGAGAAACTGTTTCCAATCTTCCAAAATAACTAATGCGATTAAATCGAGTATGAAAAACTGTGTCAGTGCCCTTATGTCTAAAACATCTGTGTGCTGCAATGAAGAGGGAACAGCTGGCAGGTCATCAATGGCACATTTTTATTTACAGTAGCATCCTGTAAGAAAGCAAAGAATAAACAAGTTTTCTTACAAAATGAGTTTAAAACCTGCAGTTTAGAGTTTTTATTATTATTTGTGATTTTTTTTTTAAATAAATAATATCGTACATCTCAGTAAAGTCTCAGAGCTTCTCTCCCACCACGTGGTGAGCTGTTGATAGAGGTGTAAGACGTTACAGGGAATTAACAGACTCTTGTTTTCCTCCAGAATGACATTTCCCCCTCCCTCTGTCAGGTGAGCGGCTACAGCCTGCAGATGTTTTTAATGTAGATTTTAGTCAAATTAATTAGCGGCAGAAGATTAGAAGGGAATTAAAAGCAGTTTCCTTTTTCACATTAATCTCTGTGTCAGATGGATTAAGAGCATGGGGGCATCGCTGGAGGTGCAAATGTAGCTCGTTTAAATGTTTTTCGCTGCATTTCTCCTCCAGATGTTTGAGCTGCTGAACGAAATCCTGATGTGTCGCTTTGTGTCCTGCAGGAGAAGCAGTCAGAGATGGAGAAACTGAAGCAGCAGCTGGTGGAGGTGGAGAAGCAGAGGGAGGAACACGGGGACACCATCGGGAAACTCAAACAGGTAATAGCTTTGTGTCAGAGCTGATATATCTCGTTCCTCCAGTGTCCAAAGACTGCAAACTTTAATTCAGACCCACTCACACGGTTCTGTCTACGAGACCAAATGTGGTTTAATACGCCGCTGTAAATAGTCCCTTATAGTCCTTTTCCTACTGTTTATAATGATAGAACAGAGAGCAGCTTTTAGGAACTTTATAAAAATGGAAATACATTTGTGATTTTTGTAATTAAAGGTTGATGTTTACAGTATGAACCAGCGGGCTGAGACCATACACTGTATGTACAAGATGGACATAAACAGACACAAACACCTGCTGTTTCATATGCAAGTAAAATGTTATGAGAAACAAACATAACAGAAATTAATACTTGTAAATTTAAATTTATTAATTTGTTTTTTAATTTGTCAGAAGCAGGTAGCACGGTGGGATGGTGATTAGCACTGGTCCCTTTGGGTTCTCCAGCTTCCTCTCGCAGTCCAAAGACATGCAGTTAGTGGGGTTAGATGAAGTGGTGGTTCTAAACGGCCCATAGGTGTGAGTGTGAGTGGTTGGCTGGTGCCAAGGTCCCGATTCAATTAGATTTGAATCGGGGAAATTTTGCCTCAGACAGTCAGAAATATTATAATTCTGATCATGCATCAGTACATTTCCATATTTTTATATTTATAAAAAGAAAGCTGAGACTTGTGAGACTTTATCAAAGGTGTGAGCATCACAGCAGAGGCCTTTGTGTCAAAGTAGCTGAGGATGAAACAGAAAAACATGAAGGAGATTTTCCTGGCCTGAGATTTTATACAAATATTCTGCAGTCGATCAAAAACGGAGCAAAACCATTAATCAACACATGAACATGACCTGATGCTGCTGACGTGAAGCAGAGCAAAGTTACAGAGGTATATTTAAAAATCGAGTCAGGATTTTAATGAATCGATATCACGTTATCCAAGCTAGAATCGATTTTAATCAATAAATCGATAATCAACACCCACCCCTACACAGGAGCTGTCAATCATGAGTCTCTGCCCCGCCCCTCCCCCTTCTTACATACACTTACAAGTAAGTGTATGTAATACAAGAAATTAATGATACACAAATACATTTATTTATTTATTTCTTGCCTTTCGAATGCTCTTTAAATCATTGTAACTCCGGTAACCTTTGTGCTACAGACAAAATTCCAAGGTGAGCTTTTCAGGGATCACAAAGCATTCACAACGCACTGCTGTCTGAACACGGGCAGGAAAATCCGTTCTGCCGAGACTTGAGTAGTACCTACTCGTTAAGCGTACCGCTTAACGTTAGTGCTGCTGCTCATCTTTTTTGAGCTAGAGAGAAAATTCAGAATTCTAAAACAAGTCTATCACTGTATGATACTTGGATGATAAAGGGTGAAACACTTCTACAAGAACAAAGCAAAGAACATGATAAAAAGAAACAATAATGAGGAGACACAACGGGATCGAAAACATGGCCACACCAAAGATTCACAAAAGCCTTTTAAAAGAGAAAATTTAAAGAAGAGATTTAAAAGAGTATTTTGGTGTGAAGGGGCAGACGGTTCCACAGTTTAGGAGTCCTAATGGAAAAAGCCGATCACCTTTACTAGGATTTCTCCCAGCAGAGCTGAAGTGGTCTGCAGCACTGCAGCAAAGCTTTGAGCAGGTCCTCTGAAAGGTCTTTACATGGTTGATGCAGCGGCCCACGCTAGAGATAAAAGGAGACGGTCCCTTTGAGGCCGAGGTTTTTAACCTTTACAAATGTGTCACTTTGAACCCAGGAACTGTGGACCTGTTTAAAAAGCACCAAAATCTGTTTACTCTTCTCTTTGTTTATTCACCCAGCTTATGTGTTTTAGTGTCTGCCTTTAGCGTCACCCTCCCTTTATGCTGTGTGGAGGTGCGAGCGTCTGTTTAGCTTGGTGTTTGCACGATGCTCTGCAGATCACAGCACAGAATTTGTGGGCCAAAATGTTAAGGAACCAAAATAATTTGCTGATCAGATTTAAAATCAGCTACAGGCTCAGTATGGCTTGCTTTCACTTTGACATGGTTCTGGCTGGTGTCTGTGTTTTTGCTGGTTTGGGTTTTTTCGTGTTTAATAATTTCATCAATCTGCTCGTGACTGCAGATGAAAATGTCCATTTTAAGCTAGATCTGGCACGTTTACAGTATGGACCCAGGTGTTCATGTTTGGTATTGTGCATTTTTTTTAATAGTATAAAATGCCCTGAAAAAGTCAGAAAATATAATGTCTGGCAAACAGAAGCAGTAAATTCTCAGTTCAGGAAATGTTTCTGGCGTTTTTACTTTGGAAATGAACTAGAACGATCAGAGTAACTGACAGTGATGTCTCTGACCTGCTTTCTTTGTTTAGGAGATAAAGGACACTGTGGACGGTCAGAGGATTCTTGAGAAGAAGGGAAGCGCAGCGGTAAGTTTACTGTTTATCTGACTGATGCTGCCAGAGACAAAGAGACGGATGGACTGTGTGAGTGACAGACGCAGACTGATGAACCGATACTGTAAGACGAGAATCTGATTAGCAATGAGAAAGGAAAAATATTTAGCAGAGTAATTTGAGAGCAGTGGTGCATGGAAAATAATAATTAGAAAATAAACCTGTGTGTGTGTGTGTGTGTGTGTGTGTGTGTGTGTGTGTGTGTGTGTGTGTGTGTGTGTGTAGCTGAAGGATTTGAAGCGGCAGCTGCAGCTGGAGAGGAAGCGAGCAGACAAACTGCAGGAGAGGCTCCAGGAGATTCTGACCAACAGCAAAACCAGGACAGGTACTGTACGCACCCCGAACTGTGATGCTGTCCTCACGTCTGCATGCCCCTACGTTTAGTTAAATGCTGGTGTTGTCTGTTCATTCTTCAGTCCCACTGACGCAACATGAAAACCTTTAATCTGTTTCCTCTCATTCGGTGAAATGGTCAATTTTCCCATCAGGATTTACAAAACCAGAAAGAAGCCCCACCTATTTGCTTTGGTAGTTGCTGTTAGCAGGGCAACCAATTAGAGGCTTAAACAGTGTGATGGGGAGGCTGTGGCTCAGGAAGTAGAACAGGTCATCTGTTAATCGTAAGGTTGGTGGTTCTCTCCATGGCTGCTCTGATCTGCGTGCCAAAGATACTGTAGTTGCTGAGTTGCTCCTGATGCATTTGTTAGAGTGTGGAAGTTAAATAGAAAGGCCTTGGATATAGAAAAATGATATGTGAATGTGTGTGTGAATGGGTGAATGAGACATGTTGTATAAAGCTTTGTGCCTAGTATAAATGTGCTGTACAAGAGCCAGTCCACTTGCAACCATGCAAGGGAGAGAGTACAAGCTCCACACAGAAAGGCCGAAGGTGGCTGTGGATTTGAGTCCAGGAGCATCTCGCTGACAGGGAGGTGACCGTGCTAACCACTGTGCTCCTGGGCTGCCTTGTAGTACACTTTAAAAGGAAACTATGGAGCTTGATATGTGCGTACATTTTTTTTTGTTCATAGCACTGCTGTCTATCGTTACCGATTCTCTTTCATGTGCACATTATGCTCAGAATCGTCCTTTTTCACAGAACAGATGTTAAGTAAGCCGCCCGTAGTTTTAAAAGGTGAGTCTTCTGTGGAGTAACACATGTACATTACATGGAGACTTCAACATTACTGTATGCCTCCAGGCTCAGGATGTTTTGAAAGGAAAAAACTACCCCCTTGGTGTAAATAAGGTTTTTGATGACGATTTGATAAATTCTAATAATAGCTTTTTAAAAATGAGTCTACGTAGGTTTGTCCTGATTTATGCCTGTAATTGTTAAAAACGTTCCAGTAAAAAAACTAAAAGTCATCACAGAGATGCCTCAGGACACAATGTACAAGATTATGCTGACGTCTGCTGCTGACGAAACATTCACAAACACAGGGTATATGAGAAGCATGAAACATGTTGACACCATACCTGAAGTCATGTCACAGTTATTAGGTGTCGTTTCAGTAACAGTGGTCCAAGCTTTGGCTCGATGATACACTTGTCACAATCATGCCTCCAACCAATGAGCCAAGAGCCTTGTGCTCATGCAGCACAAGTTCATCCATGATCATCAGCATCTGTGCTGGAGGCTGGAGCCCTGGATGGCAATCAGTCGGTGTCTAAAGCAGGCGACCCACTTATCCTGGAAGAGCTGGGCATTTTAAAACCAGTTTCATGTCCTGTAAAACACCTGGTGTGATGTGCTCTGGATGGGAAACTCTGTTCCTCTCTCGAGTAATCTGTAGACATTAGCACTGCATGTTTCTGCAGGTTATCGATTGCTGCACACTTAGAGCTCCATAAAGCTGAACCTGACGGGACTCTGAAACTTAGAGGTAGAGGACGTAAATCCCCGAACAGGATGGTGCTGCCATTTAAATACTCCAGGAAGGAGAGACAGCAGTTTTGGGGCTGTGTGTGTGTGTGTGTGTGTGTGTGTGTGTGTGTGTGTGTGTGTGTGTGTGTGTGTGTGTGTGTGTGTGTGTGAGGCCAAGATGTGATTGTAACGTGACCAGTCCGATAATAAGCGGCATGCTAGCCCTGCGTCAGGAGGTTCTGGCTCAGTCCGGAACCTCCTGCTTAATATTTAATGGAGCGCTCTGGTTCCCAGAGCTGAGCTGGACACACTGGCGTCTGCTGGCAAAACACAAGCAAATACACACACAACCAAAACACTTGCCCACACCTGCATCAAATGGAATTTTGAAAGTTTTAACTTTTTCCACTTAATATTATTTAAATGTTATTCTTTTATTGCATATTTTCTTATTCTCTGGTGCTTATTTAGCAGACTCTCTGTTGTCACACACACACACACACACTCTCAGTTGGAGCGGTGCAGGGTAGTTCTGAGCTTCATGTATAATCTATGAGCAGTGCTGAATGTTTAAAAGCCTCTTCTGCACAAACCTGAGAATCAGACATTTTAAAGTAGCTACTTATCCATCTCTCCCAGTACCTGCCTTATAGGGACGTCCCAGTGCCTTAAAGGGGCAGTTTGTCGTTTTAACAGGACAGCGTGCTGCTTTAAAAGTGACAGTCCACGGTCTTAATGGTAAAGTGGGATGTCTTATAGAGACAGTTCATTGCCTTGGACAATAAAGGGACAGCCTGAAGGGTCGGCCAGTTGCCTTAAAAGGACATCCTTAAAGGAGTGACTTTGTCCTTTAAAGGGACAGTTCTCTCACTGCTGTCTTACTTGGACAACTTGCTGCTTTAAAAACACAGTTTCACTGCCGTAAACAGACAGCTTACTACCTCAAAGCAACAATCATACTCTTACAGGAACAGCCCACATTTAAATGGGCAGCTTACTGCCTTAAAGGGCTGTTTGCATTCCTAGAGAAACGGCTTGCTGCTTTAAAAGGATGTCCACATTTTTTAAAAAAGATTGTTTGACAGTCCAGCAGCTTAACAGGGCAGTTTGCTTTCTGAAAGCAATAACAGCCTTTATTGCCATAAATAGGTCTTATATGAACAGGAGGCTTTAAAATGATGTTCATATACTAAAAGGAATAGTCTTGGTCTTTAAATGGACTGTCCACATGCTTAACATGGTGGTCCAGTATCTTACAGAAACACTTTGGTGTTTTTAAAGACAGTTTTCTGCCATAAATGGCAACTTGCCACTTTCAAACAACAGTCTTAAAGGGGCAGTGCACGTTTTAATAGACAACTTACTGCCTTTAAAGGATTATTTGCAATCCTAAAGAGACGGCTTTCTGCTTTCAAAGAACGTATGCCCTCTTAAAAGGTATATTCACCAATCCACTGCTTAAAGGGATCATTTATTGCCATAAATAGACCTTATGTTACTGCTGTGCTTTGAACAGTGTCCTGCTTTAAGCACACTGAAGAAGAAAAGAATCAAGATGTTGCAATGCTCCAGTCCATGTCCAGACCTCAGCCGGATTATAATGCTCTGTCAGGACCTTAAGACAGTTGTGCGAACATGAACGCCCACAAACCTCAATGAACTGAAGCAAGGTTGAGTGGGCCAAAATTCTTCCCCAGTGATGTGAGAGACTGATGAAGTCATATAGATGCTGCTAAAAGTGTTTCTACGAGCTACTGAAACATGGAGTGTTCTTAATTTCTCACAGGACTGAACAGACTCAAAGTAAAAGGCTACGTATTAAAGGCAGTTGAAGTAAAAGTCTTTGTCAAACAGCTGGGGGATTTAGAGTTTGTCTGGGGTGGACTGCAGCTTTAAAGAGGTCCTGATGCTTAGAGTGAAATTGTTGTTCTTTCAGGTTTGGAGGAGCTAGTTCTGTCAGAGATCAACAGTCCCAGTCGAACTCAGCAGACCGGAGACTCGTCCTCCGTGTCCTCCTTCTCCTACAAAGACATGATGAAGGAGTCTCAGTCGACCAATCAGAATAAGGTGGGTGGAGCTCCTCGTCACCTTAAACACAGAGCTTGATGTCTGTGACACTTCAGGCTTTGGTGTGGACATTATCCCAGCCAGCACACTCAGCTCCAACTTACAGAGCAGGCAGTGTTTTTCAGTTTGCCTGATCATGGTGCGTTTGAATGGCTGCCATGCACTCATCTGTTCTTTCTGTTGACTGGTGTTTGGACCTCGTCTGGTTCAATATCTCACGTTATTATTTATTTATTTTTCATTGTACTGATGGTGGTTCATGGCTGAAATGTGATCAACATCATGAATCTCAAAATCCAAACACAAACATGAACATCTGAGAATATGTCCTGTCAGCCTGGAGTCAGCAGCTGCTTAAGCCAGAATGGCGTTCTGGCTGGACGCCTGAAAGCGTCCCATCAGTACTTCATACATGACCAGCAACAGCAGCTGGATCGTCTTCAGGATGTGGAGATTCCGGCCGGCTCTGGATTCAGCCGTGAGCGAGATCACAGATCGACTGATTGAGGAAACAGTGAAAGGAAAATTTTCTGATGGGCCTTTTAATGCTGCAGCTGCAGTTTGCTGATGTTACTTTGTGACAGATTTACGCATCATTAAAGGCTTTACTGGATACGACTTCTCTGCTGTTCAGCTACTGGAGCACACATTGAGTGCTTACACAAAACCTCAGGCAAGTTGAAGAAATCTCAATTTCAGATGAAGGTTTAATTGAAGTGCTACTTTGTGTCTGCAGCTACAAACTAATGCTGTTGGAAGGACACATTGTTTTCATAGCAACAGCTATAAAAGGTTAACATCTGAGGTTTTTTTAACCTTCTACAATAATAAACTGAGTAAAATGTGTGATTAAAATATGTTCACATTCAAGGCCATCTTCTTGTTCACCTCTGGACCATTCCCTGCAAAGACCCAGGTTCAACTCAAAGTTCAGTTAATGTGATGTAAAATTTCAGCCATGCTGGAAGCTGTGTGAATATGCCCAAGAGTAGGATTTTAAACAGGTTTTTATGGAGCTGCTCTCAGAACCTTCTGATAACTTTTGCCTTTTTGTTTGAATACTTCAGGCTTTAGGAAAGTGAAGCAGAAAATTAATTTGGCAGAATAATGGAGAATAGCTCTGACCGGCTGTGCGCTTTCATCACATTAAAATGTAAACCGTGGTATTTATTAAAGCTGTGTTAAAACTAAATGTAAGCAAAAGTCACAGTTTGAAACCTCGACAGATAAAAGCTGTCATGTTAAAAGTGAATTAATTAGTGTTTTTAGTGTATTCAGTGAAAGCTAAACAAGCTTCTGCTCCTGACCTCTTAGCTCTGTGTCAGGTCGAATCACGACCTCTGACCTCCAGGTTGTATTGAAAGACAGATTTAACTGTAACATCCTGTCATCCTCTCTTTTGTTCTTTTATTACGTTTTACAACTGATTTATCTTTAAAGTTCCTGGTGCCATATTTATCTCTGTCAGGTGTGTGTGTGTGTGTGTGTGTGTGTGTGTGTGTGTGTGTGTGTGTGTGTGTGTGTGTGTGTGTGTTTCTATTGATAGAAACACTGTAAATAGAGCTGACAGACTCTCTGTATGTCGATGAGTGTTTCTGTCAAAACATGACACTGCAGAGTCCTCCATCACTTCAGTTTACTGTGGTGATGCGGTTGTTATTAGCAACAGCATCACATGAGAGAAAAGAGGGTTTGATGATGTCCTGCTGCTGCAACGTTTCCCATCAGACACCTCTGTGATGATTAAAGCTTCAGCGTGCTTCAAAGGTCCCGTTTTGGTCCACACTTTAAATTTTAATGAGAAACTACAAACTGAATGCTTTTGTGTGCATTCAGACATATAGATCTCAGTGGGCTGATGATGATGACTTTTTTCACTTGTTTCCATCCGACTTTAAAGTTCTGCTCAGCAGAGTTTAACATGTGAGACTACAAAGTCTGCTTATTATCTTGAACCCAAACTGTGATAGCAGCTGCTGTACCGAAGTGTAAAAGCAGAACAGACTGTGGCAGCAGTTTGATCCTCTCGCACACAACTGAGGTAATGTTCATGTTAGCAAGCCTGTGAAAGGCAGCAAAAGCTTCTGGCACAACTTCACCTGCTTCCAAGATGCATAGAGAGGATAAAACGATTCACAATGCAGGAACTCCCGCAACACTTAAGAGAAGAGGAACAACTTTATTGATTGACCAACGTGTAAATCTGCTAATAAGCTCTCTTATCAAATAGCTCACATGCCTCCATAATGGAAGAGGAGAAGTTCTGTCTTAGAAACCTTTTCTCAGGTGGAAATACGACACTCTCACAGTTGCATTTGAGAGTCTCCTCATGTGGCACCATAAGTTTTGTTTTTTTTAAGACGTCTGTAGTTTGGCTTCACTGTCCTGCCATTAACACCTGACTGTACCAGCAGGAAGCTGCACATCAGACACTGTAACCTCTGAGATACAGCGAATGATCAGCTTTTGAGTTTGATTAAACACAGAGTTACAGCGACGAGTCTATTACCAAACATTATTGTGTCTGTTTTCCTGATGATTCTGGCCAGTGTGTTTAACCCAACTTAAGAGTGGTTATAAAAGTGTTGTTATTTCAGTCCTGGCGTTCCACACATGTGCAGTACATCAGACACAGCTTCAGTACTTTTTCTTTACAAATAAACTGTTAACGATAAGGCAGCCTCAACCTCATCCGATTCTTTAGGACTCTTCCCTGTGACGTGTCCAATAATGTGACGAGTTCCCTCTTGGTTGCATAATGAGCTTCTGGGTTTGAATGAGCTCTGAAGTGCTATAAAGCAAGGCAGCAGAGCTTTCACATTAACTGAAGCCTCTGTGTGTGTCTGTCAGTCCGGAGGAGGCAGCCCTCAGTCTCAGCGCCCCGCCGAATTATCCGATGATGAGGTCGGAGAGCTGTTCCAGCGGCTCGCTGAGGTTCAGCAGGAGAAATGGATGCTGGAGGAGAAGGTGAGGAGTCTTTGGCTAAACCAGAAAGCAAACTATATGTCCTGTTCCTGAAGTCCTAAGCACATGACACAGGAGTGGAAAACTAACAGAGAAAGCAGAACATTCTCCACGTCCTGATTTAACGCCTCACTTGTGCCTTTTAGAGGCTTTAATGCTTCTCTTTGTTATTCGAGTCAACAGTAAAACGTCTGTCCTGTTTTTAGATGCAGGTTTGTATTTTTAGATGCATTATTAATGTCTGTTTAATATTTAGGTAGTTTGTATAGTAGCACTGTGAGGCCAGTGGATAATTCAGCAGAACTTTATTAATCACTTAAATATTAATAAGTTGTTTCAGGTTTAATGATGCTAAAGAAAGGACTTAGTTTGTTGTTACATAAACACATTGTGACATCAGTGAATACTAATTGTGTTTTTTGTCTGTTTCAGGTGAAACATCTGGAGGTGAGCTGTTCATCGATGGCTGAAGACATCTGCAGAAAGAGCGCCATCATAGAGACGTACGTGATGGACAGCCGCAGAGGTGAGAAATCGTTTCATCTCCTCACAGAAACATCTGGAACTTAACTGTAGTTAGTTATGGAGCATCTGTGATTCCGTTTTTGTTTCAACCACAGACCAGGAACATTTCTTTTAGCAAAAAAGGCAAAGACATGTCAAAGATGGCTGTTGGCGTCATGAACGTGTGTGCAGGCAGGAGTGGTCAGAAAGTGGAGATGTGGTGTCGAGTCCCAATTCATGGGAAACAGCCATTAATGTCATGTCAGGACTGCTGTGGACATCCACTCTGTGACTCAGCATTATTAATAATAGTTAGCTCCTGACCTAGCTAGCTACATTTCAGCTTTTTTCTTCTGTGGAGCCGTGCTCGATGCTCACAGGTGTGAGGTGTGGTGATTTTGGGTCTGTATATTGTCACTGAGAGCTGAGCGTTAACATGGTCATCTCATCTTTAACTGTGAGTCACGAAAAGCTACTTTAGTTGAGCCTAAGACATGGAGCTGGAAATGGATATGATATCTATCGATACTCTGTTTGCTGCTACAGTTTTGTAAACACCGGAGCTGGAAATGCTGTCCTCACAAACTTTATGACATCACCATTGCTAAACGACTCCGGGCTCTTTTTCTGCTTTATGATCTGTAAAGTAAGCACCAGGTAGGAGTGTGATGTAATTCAAAGAAAAAAAAGAAAAAGATTTTCTTTAAAATGCTGATTATCTTCATTTTTAGTGTTTTGGAACATTTAACAGACCGAGGTACAAAACGGTTATTTAATATGTCTTTGAAATAATCCTCGTCTCAGTGGTAAAACTGAGAGAAGAGTCGCTGGTGCAAAGTGCTAATCCAAACTCTGAGGTACTTAAAGTGCGTCAGTCAGCAGAAAGTTAGCCAGCTCAGCACGTCGTTTATCTGACAGTGACACTTAATTAGAACCACTTTAATCTGCCGCTTCACTTACCTGCGCTCAGGTTTACATGGACTCTTTGTGTTTGGAGAAAACAGGAACAAGCGGTGGAAAAAACAGGCGTGCTTAACACTTTCATGTGCCGCTCGTGCCGAGCCGTTTCCACTGCAACACGACGGAGAGAAGTTCGTGCTGGACGGATGTCAGGACGGAGAAACTCGTTGGTCTGAGTGATTTTCACTTTCCCACGTCTCTGTAAATACATTTGTACGTCTCTGATGTTTCACCGCTGCTATATTTATCCGCTCGTCCGTCTTCAAAAGGTGACGCTGCCGTGTGTGAAGTGTTTTTAATAACTTGTGCAGCTATCAGCAGACTTATTTTTCAATCAAGTATCGTCCTCCTCGTCTGGCTGAAGTTATGTTCAAGGTCATCATTCCTGGCCTCACAAACACTTTGTTTGGTCACACCTGGACCATTTGCCAGATTTTGACTCACCTGAGGAGCACCAGTGTTCACCGCACAGGTGTAAGAGGTGCAGAGGTCCACTTCAAGCGACTGATTTCAGCTTGTGTTGTAATAAATGTGGCTCTTTAGAATGAATTAGAAAGTTGGTCGCTGCTGCAGAAGGATATAATAGATATTGTGTGCCTTATTTTTGTGGCTTTGATTTCTGTGGTAAAAAAATCAAATTAAAGCCGTAAAATAGAACAATCTGAACAATCGTGCAGTCTGAGTGTGAACTGCAGATGGACTGAAACGTGGCAGGTTTGGATTTTAAACAGAAGTAAACAAAAAGCAGCTTCTCATGTTGATCCTCTCGCTCCCCTCAGTGTAAAACTCTTTGAACGACTCTGTGGGAAATGTGCTGTATAAATAGTTACCTTTCCTCCATCCCTCCCCCCTCGTCCCGCTGCCTCACGCTGTCCTTTCTCTCCTGCTGTTTTCAATTTCATGTTTGACTGCTTCAGCCCTCCTCTGTCTCTCCATTCCACTCCCATTAACGCAGTAATGATGGTAAATCTAATGGGCAGTAAAACTGAGAGCGGAGCTGCTTCTCTAAAGGCTGGACTGTCTGTGTGTGTGTGAATATTTCAAACTGCACTCGATAGAAAAGCACTCGCACACACAGTTATATGCTTTACATTCAGTGTTCATTTACATTTGTTTAAAACTTGTCTTGAAAAGCTGACTGAGCGCGCTGCAGTCCGTTTAACCAGCTGCAGAGTTTCCAGCATGATACGAGGAGCAGTTGAGTGGGCGGTGCCTTGCTTGAGGGCTTCTCGGCAGCTCCTGGCGAGATGATGACTCACTGATATTGTGATCGCCAGAATCTGGGTGAAACAGGCTTTGGAGGGATGACAGAGTCACCCCAGTAAACCGTATAAACGATTTATTGTGATGATAGGAAACACATCGAATAGATGAGCTGCTGATGATTGATGACGGGGTTAGCTGACTCGGCTACCAAAAACGAAATGTTCAAAGCCACCTGTAACTACCCAGAGTGTGTCCTGCACCACAGCCCTCGTAGATAACGTCCATGATCTGTGTTGCAAACCAGCAGCGTGGGAAGATTTTTGATGTAGAACATAAATGGCTGTGTGTCTGCTGTGCTCGAGTAAATACAGACGTAACTATTCAAGCGGTGTGTAACCAAGCAGGTGAGCCTGCTGGTACTATTAGCACTGCTAATGTTAGCCACACTGTGTTTTCTTACCGTTAGAGTCCGTTTTTAATGTCTGTTTCCATGATTGGTGGCGAGCTTCACCTCTGTGTTCCTGCACGCAAAGACCCCAATGAGCAGATCCCCGTTATCGAGCAGGCTCTTGTTCGTGTGTCCTGCGATGGATTCTTGGGCTCTCTGGCTTTTTATTAGGAATCTTTGTGTAAATTAACTGATCGTTTTGTTGAAGCAGAAAAATAGGACAGTTTTTAGTGTTTCAGAAACCTGACCGCTCTGAGAGGAATCCAGAGTGACGTTTGACGGGTTCAAGGTCACGAATCTTATAATTTCAGTAATGTTCCTCCCAGAAGCTTTGTGTGCAACGTTTGGTTAGAAATAAAGGAAAACACCAAAACAAACAAACCTCCTGTTTCCACTCCTCACCCTCCTCTTCATCTCCTTGTTCTTATCTCCTTATTTCCCTGTTGTGACTGCTTCTGGTGTTTTCTTCGGGCCGTTTGACCAGCATGTTTCTTTTAAAACGAATCTCTGTTGAATCTCGCGTCTTTGCTTTTCTGCTCAGATGTGTCGGGGAGCACGGTCGGAGGTCACGGAGGCTCTCAGGGAGACCGGGGAGGTCTGGGTTCGGTCCTAAGAGAGCTGGTGAAACCAGGAGACGAGAATCTGAGGGAGATGAACAAGAAGCTGCAGCACATGTTGGAGGAGCAGCTCACCAAGAACATGCACCTGCAGAAGGTAACGGTCCACACCCACATGCTACATGGACAGTTTCCACGGGGTGAGGGTTTAGTTCTATAAAATATCCTTTAAATTACCGATTCAAACACACACAGGGTGGATGATTTTCATCTTCACCGACTTGACTGTTTAGACCAATAACAGCAGAAAGAACAGCCTGGACGTTTCACAGGTGGCTAAACAATGTTTTTTCAGATTGGCTGAGACTGATTGAAGTGTTTCCACAGGTCTTATTATTAATTTTTAATCTGCTAATCCATCAGTTTGCTGCATTCATCTTTGTCCAGGAAACCTTCACTGATCTCATTACTGAGGATGATTAATTAATACAGCTGAAAGAAATCTGATAGAAACATCAATAAACACTTAATAAAAGACTGAAGATGAAACACGTAAACAATGTATGTACAGTTTCATTAAGGTAATGTACACACACGGAGACCATCAGCCTTGTGGGTTTCTTTATGTGGTCACTCCACCCTTTTCCAGCTAAGAACCATCAGCTCAGACTTGGAGTTGATGGTTCTCATCCAAACCACTTTGCCCCAGTGCGAGGTCATCGCCAAAACAGCGAATGTCCATGGTCTACCACTCGCTTTTATCTCACACAAACAATTACACACACGCAGTAACAGCAAGTGTAGCAATCTGTGCTGTGCATACGGGCGCTTTGATGAAAATCTAACAGCACGCCACGTCAACGCAACTGCTGTGATTGGCCTGTTCCGTAACATTGATTCCTCCTATGCTTTTTCCTCATATAGCATTTCACCGCAGGTTTGAATGAATCTCTGAGAGAATATCAGTCATTGTCTCAGCATAAGGAATAATCATCACTCTTTCAAGTGTCAGATCTTCCTAGAGGGAGATCGTTGAAAGCATCAGGCGTGAGGTAAAGTCCAAAGATGTGGAAACACTTCAGGGACAAACACGTTTGACTTTGAAAAAGAAACAAAAAACACACTACAAGAAAAAATGGGGGGAAAAGTCCTGACATATTATTTTTTTCTATCGTGGCTGGAACACACACACACACACACACACACACACACACACACACACACACACACACGGCGAAGGTGAAGTTGTACAAAGTTCCCCTTCAGTCGATTCACTCGGTACAACACATAAGTATGGGATATCACGCCCTCGCGTGTCCTGGCTGAAGAAACCTTTATTCACGCCTTTACGGCAGATGACGTGTGATGACACGCGCACGG